ATATATATATATATATGCGCGACTCTTCAAAACTGCACGTTGCTCTTCACTTAAATTATTCTTCTCATCTTCAAATAATTGCCCTTTGTCTTTATCCATTTTCCTAAAACACACACATAACATATGTTTGAATTAATTTCATTTATTCTCTGAGATGTACTCTTTCAGAGAGCTCACACCGTAAATCCCTAATTCGGAAAGAGATTTTCTTTCTTTCTTTTTTTTTTTTTTTTGGTTTTCTATCACTTTATTTATTTATTTATTTATTTTGAAGGCAGTATATATGAAGAGGGCAATGAAGATAACTATAGCAAATGGCTAGCTTTGCACAAAGGTTATGTACCAACCAATCAAAAAATGGCAAGGAAGTTATAGGGCTTTAAAATGTCACGAAGTTGAAAGCGAAGGTGTCACATTGGTATGCTTTCAAACAAAATACGCTAAGCAAATGTCGACACGTTTGATGTGACACTAGCACCACACACTGTGAACCAATAAAACCATAATTTGGTAGTACACCTCATGTACTATGAACATGAATGTACATAACCCACTAGAGTTAGAAAATAATGTATATTTAGAAATAGTCACAACTTTCATATATAGTAGTACTGTATACAATGGAAATGCAGGAATCTATTTTGTATTCTTAAAAATATTGAAATGATTTGTTGTATTTTCTAATCACACAGAATTCTAATTACATGGAATCCACCCCTCCTAAACCATAAAAATTCCACACCTAATGTAGCAGTGCAAAAAGATGCTATTACCCTTCATAAAAAATGAAGGAATGATGGTTCCACATGAGAGAAATTCCAGAGGTGGCAATTTGTTTTCGGTGATACTCGACAAGACCATCGTCCTTAGAGCTTGTTTGGTGGGAGGAGAAGAAGAGTGAATGGATTGGTGAAAGGATTTTGATACTCATCATGATCATTTGGTAGGAAAGAAAAGAGCAAGGAATGGATAGAGTGAGGACTTTCAAATTCTTCATAGAAGCGCAAATTTACTCTTTCATATGAAAAGATTAGAGAGAATGCATACCAAACAGATAACATAATGGTTCTCTTTCCTTTCTATTTTATTTCACTCTTACCAAAACATAGCCTTAAAATCAAACATTATGTTAAGCTGGTAAATCCCGTTCTATCCATTCCGCTGCATCAAAAATTAGGTTTCAGCGGACACTTTCCATTCAAGACCTTTTTATTATTATTAGTTGAAATTGTGCAGTACGCGCACTAGATTTTATAAATAAAAATAGAAAACATATTTATTAAGATCTCATTTGAGAAATAAAAAAAAAATGTATAATAGGACAAAAAGAATAAGAATGGAAAAAAAGGGAAGGACAAAAAAATAGAGAGAAAAAAGAATGACAATTAAAAAAAACACTAACAAAATGTTTTATCAAGGACACATGATTTAAAAAAGATTTAAACATGGATATAATATATGAGAAGAAACTATTTGAACGGAGAATTAAAAAAAAATATATTTATGAGGGTAATTTAAAGAAAAGAAAAGAATGTATAATAGGACAAACAAGATAAGAATGTAAAAAAGATAGACAAGAAAAAGAAACGAAAAAAGAAAAAGGGTAGATAGTTTAAAAATAAAAGGGAAAAAAGAGAAAGAAACTAAGTAAAAAAGAATAAATAAAAAAACGGTGGAAAGCAAAAAAAAAAAAAAAAAGGTTCAACAAAACTCATCTCTAAGAGTAACTCCAAGAGAACTCATTAAATATTAGTGAACTAAAAGAGAACTCGCTAAATATTAGTTAATTTTAGTTAAAATGACTAGCAAGCTATCTTAGTTAGTAATTTTTACGTGATTTACTCCAATCATATTCTATATTTTAGCTAAATATACATTATTTTAATATTTATTGAATTTAAATATAAATAACCTTATTGAATTTAAAAAATAATCTTTACATTTATAACAGTTAAAAGAATAAAATTATACAATAAATTAAATAACTAACCTCTCCATACTAACTATATTTGACTAGTGTAAAAAATATTCTCTACAATAGCCAAGAAAAGCTATAAAAAAGAAAAAGATCATCAGTGTCCTTGAAACCGTAAAGCATTCATTTTTCTGGTAAGAACTAACGAAAAGATTTAAGAAACTTTTGCACCCACCTATCAATGAAGGGGGAACAAGAACACAATAGATTGAACGATTTGAATGCTAACCAGTTAAGAAAAAGAAATAATTTAGAGAATTAAATCAGAGATTAATTATAATAGGCAAATATCCCCGACGAATTATGACGCTATAACAATATCGTAAAAGAACCAAAGAGATGCAATAGTTATAAAACATGCATGTACACGACCACTTTCACCAACTTTGCCCTAACTAGTGTTGTCCTTTTTCTCAGTGATCCTAGTTTATTTTGTTTTTATCCTCGTAAATTAATATTAATTTGTTTATGATCCCAGCAGATAAAACCCATCAATTACCTAGGAAAAGGTACATTCAGACATGTTAAAAGATAGCTGTTTCAATGGAAACATAAGTTAAAAAAGGAATAAAAAAAATGTTGGGATTGCAGCAAAAGCCAGTGCACAGTTGATCAAAATTATGTTTTTCCGTTCATGGAGATGTTAGAACATAAATAAATAAATAATAAAAAAAGAACTTAGTACATAGAAGAAGAAATTAGCTTGAGCAAAAATGGGCCGCATTGGAGGCTCACATTATATACATGTATGCAAACGCTAATCTGTCTTGACAAAATGAGCAGTCAGAAGCTTTGTGACTGAGAAGCCATTGAAAGAGTCAACGTCAAAAAGCTCTTTCAATTTATCATCACATAAAATTCTCCTCTTATCCGACGGATCCTTCACAAACAAGCAAACAAAAAAATGGCGTTAGTTTGGCAAGAGGGAAAAAGAAAAAAAAAAAAAAAAGGAGAGATGGATGAGGGGCAATCGAGAGAAAGAAAAGTCATTTTCTCTTCATCTTGTTTGGTATTAAAAAAAAAAAAAAAGGTGAGCAAATGAATGACTAATTTGTCAATTGATTGATATTAGTTTTGTTTGAAAATGAGAACAAAGTAATTTGACTTATCATGCAAGTTACAAAAAGTTTCTCTTGAAAATTCCCTCCACTATGGTTGGATACAAAATAAAAAAAAAAATAAAAAAATAAAAAAAGAGAAGGGATCCATGGCCTTTTTATCTCCCCACTTCACATGCCTTCAATCAAACTTATATGCAAACTTAGATGAGATTTCTCCAAGCCCAACTTTGCTCACACGTTCGTAACAAGGTGGGTTCTCTGCCTAACCCGACGTTTCTAATTTTAATACCATATTTGAGGGACATGAAATTAATAAGTTTTAAAATCTAAATGATGTGATATATGATGATCTACTGTCTAACCTATGTCTTGCACTTGAATTCTGCAACACAAAATGGCTCCGTTATAATAAGATAGTCAACCAAACTTCATGCCTAATCTTAATTTTTAAGTGACCAAAGCTACGATGTTGGTATCGAACTTCAAATGAGCATCAACAAACTCAAGAGAGAACTATATGCATGAAAGCTTCAGTAAATGTTAAAATTGTTCACGAATCGGAACTTATTGTTCACGAATCGGAACTTGTATGTATAGATATTTCGTAGCCTAGTTGACGTCATACCTGTAGATCATTCTGTTTTATATACTGCCACATTCTTTTCACAACATCAGCCCGTGACAATGTGTTTTCTCCTGTACCAATAAATTTGACAAGAGCATCTGAAAGTGGCAAAGGAGCAGTAAAACCGGAACCTCCTTTCTTTTGCCGTTTTTCTTTTTTCTTAGGCTCATCTGAATCTGCGCGGAGAAATATTGCTTAGGCACCTAATTCACTTAAGTACAGATTAAAGTAGGTTATTCCAGAACCACAATGAAGAGCACAGTTGGATGTGCAGTAACATTACCATCCAAAACGTTTGATAACATGAGATTTGAAGGTACTATTTACCTTCTTCTTTATCTTCTTCCTCTTCTTCTTCTTGCTCTTGTTTAGACTGCTTCTCCTTTTGTGAAGAGTTCTCTGTAACTGCTGCATTACCAAGCAATAGAATTGAATCAAACTACCGGACAGTTTCAGGAACACAAAATTGAAAAATCTAAATAATGAATATATTTATATGTCATATATATGTACGTACGTGTTTGTGTGTGTAGCCTAAAGAAAGTATATTTATTGCGCCGACTATGGAATAGTGTAAACAGAGTAGTTGAATGACATGATCCCTAAGACAACTTGACATACAAAACCTAATCAAGTTATGAGGCCCTAACTACATTAATGAAGACTTTAAAAAACATGTCCAGTAGCAATGCATGTATGTTGAAATCATACATACTCATATTTGAGTTTGTGTGTGTGTGTCCATATGTATAAGATAAATTCTGTGAAAAGTTTCTTGGTCAGTATGTAGATCATTGTAAGCAATCAAGGCCAGATTCTTTCAAGGAGTACAACAAAAACTTTTAATGAGCATGTATTTGCTAGTTAAAAATGACATCAACACATCGGAGAAGTTAGGATGATACAAAGTTCAATAATTGCTGAACAGAAAAGACAAAATCCATGTAATGGAACAATTGATACATGGTCTTCTAAAATGAAGAGAAAAACTTGTTCAAAGAAATACCATTGTCCGCATTCAATGGCCAGATGTGCTTGGCTAGGGCTTTATTCATTTGAAACATGTTGATTCTATCAACATGAAAAAGGGCACGCAGTGACTCATCACAAATTATGTTTTGCTTATTCTTTGGATCTTGTAAATCATTCTCCTTGATATAGCTCCAAAGTTTCTTGACAACCTGAACAGGCAGAAGAGCAGAAGAATGGGGAAATAAGTTAAAAGTTATATAGCTAAAAAGGATAAAATAACAAGAAATGCAGGAGAGGTTATTCTAAATCAACCAAAATACCTCTGTTCTTGCCAATTCAGCCTCCCCAATAAATGCCTGAAGTTGTGGAGAAAGACTACATACTTTGGCAAAACCACCTCCTCCTCTCTTCTTAACATCTTTATCAACCTTTGCGGAGCTACATGATGAGGTACCGCAATTATGAGATGAGGTACCATTTGTCGAGATCAATAAAAGATATAATAATGTGAAGTGAACTGAAGGAGGTAATTCCATTTTCTCGGGTTAGAAAAACAATTTAAATCTTTTCAAAAGACACACTTCTTGCAACGTAGAAGCCAGAAAATTCACTAAGGAAAATGAAAAAGTCAATAATGTTGCAATCCAAAAGGAATATGGTGCTGGTGTTCTGCTACCGAACTTGGCCAATAGCAGCTCAAACAGACAAGTAAAATGTGAAAACAGTAATATCAACGATGACAAAAATTTCATGAACGTAACTAACATCTATATTTTCTCATGGACAAAAAAAAAAAAAAAAAAAAAAAACCCTTAAAAAATACCAAAAACATGAGAAGTCAACAAAAAACTTCTACACAGAGAACTTATCGAAAATGAGGGTAAAAAAAGGATGGTTGTGGGGGGCACTCACCGTCCTTTTCTTTTTCGCCGTCTACTATCTTTTTCATCCTCTTCTTCTTCCTCCTCCTCTTCCTCCTCTTGTTTCTGTGCCTTATTGGACTCTTCTTCAGATTCAGAATGGTCAATGTCTTCAGCCTTTTTCTTTTGCCTTACATTTTCTGATTTTCATGAAGTTATGGTGTTAAAATTCTGACCACCATGCATCTTCAGGATCACACCACTAAAGGTAATGGTAAGGAGCATTATAATATACTGTTAAGTACAATGAAGAGATTAATGTGGCAGCTCTTTTGTTGCATCTAAGTTGAAATAGCAAAATTTGAAAACTGCTACCACCAATATCATAGAGCAAATGCAAAAGGCCAAAATGGTCTAAAACGTAATGATAAGGATAAATAGATATAAAAATATTAAAAGAAATCCTAAAAGACACTTACATGGCACAATCACAAGACTTGAAACTTTCTCTATCGTGTAATGCAGCAAGGCTATTTGAAGCTGTGTTATATTACTTCTAATAATTTTGTGAAACTAAGTGCTTTATTTATCATTTTCTTTGATGCTAAAAACAACAAAAACAGTGATTCGAAAGAACATATAAATAGCGGACCTTCGCAAGAAATCTGATGACCTAAAAATGCAAGTAATAACTGAGACAAGCTGCCATGAGGTCTATACTTCCGAAACTTCTTGCATCTGATCTAAAAGTCCAAAAATTGCCAGAGAATTCTAAACTGTTACCTTAAAGTCTGTTTCCCTTCTCCTATGGCATATTTCATTTCTAAATTCTCATTTTCTGGACACAGAACATCTTATCTATGGAACTATCAAATAGAACAAGATTTCCAGAGGGTGAGCACGCTACCCAATCTTTCACCTGAAACAGATTTTGGTCTCAATTAAACAAAATATTTTCCTCTCAAGGTGATCGATAAAATGTGGCAACAAGAAGATCTATGAATAGTTTAGATGCTAAGGAAAATGTTTTCATTATTTACCAAAGTATAGGAGACGCAGATTTGTAAAGTAGGTTCATGTTTACTTAAATAACTTCAACATATGCTTCTGTTGTGTGTGGTCTAAAGTTTATGGTCTTGAAAACTCTCAGAAAAATTATTTCATATAGATATAGAAATTCCACTAAAAATAACAACACTGGATATAAAAGCATAAAAATTCATATGAAGCTCAAAATGTAGCCTGTACGGTACAAACAAGATAAACATAAGGAACAAAGAAAATTCAGCTTCACAAATAGTCGAATCATCAGAAAGACGAGAAGATATATGATCTTGTAAATACCATCTTCTGTGCTCAATGGCCAGATATGCTTGGACAGGGCCTTATTCATTTGAAACATATTTATTGTATTAACACGGAAAAGGGCTTGGAGTGATTCGTCACATATAATATTTCGCTTATTCTTTGGATCCTGCAGATCATTTTCTCGGATGTAGGACCACAGTTTCTTCACAACCTACAAAGTGCAACAAAAGCATTAGCAATATAATCCCAGAAACTCCAAGGCAAACAGTACGCAGTAAAAGGAAAAATGTGAAAACAATTTTCATTATTTATTAAACAAAACCTCTGGTCTCGACATTTCTGCCTCTCCAACAACTTCTTGCAGGTGTGGAGAAAGGCTACATAACTTGTTAAAGCCGCCTCTTTTTTTAACTTTATCCTCCTTATTTGACCTATTTGTAAAATAAATTGATCATTCAGAGCGTCAATGGCAGAAACTACAACCCGGCATTCGTCAATATATAAGAAACAACTCACTGATATGTCAAGAGCATGAATCACACACAATAATCCATTGGACTAATAACAATAACAAGAATATAGCATGAGTATGTCTCACACACAATAACCCATTTGACTAATAGAAAAACAAGAACATAAATCTTTTCCCAAAAATCAGGGAAATTAACCTCATGAACAAACTCCATGATTGATCATCTAGAAAGGAAATTCCCAAAAGCAAAACATACCCAATAAAAGGGATAAAACCAATAGCAGCCAACATAAAGACCGCTATTCAAGATAATCAAATCCCAATTCCCAAAATAAATAGAATTGACAATATGCATGCATAAAGTTTGAATTTTTAATGCAATTCTCTGTCAACAAATTACAAAGCTAAATAAAACTATTAAATCAAGTATAATTTCATGCATGACTAGACAAACTTTCACCTCTTAGAGAAGAGAAGGCCATACAAACCAGAAAGCCACGAACATTATCTGTACCACAATTATCCACAAGATACCCGATAAAGCAGGATATATATATATATATATATATATAAATTAATTTTTTCAATAAACGTAAGCAAAATCCATACATTTCAACCTGGGACCCAATAAAATAAATAACTCTTGACTATATTTCATTCCCACTAAACCTGAAGAAACAAGAATTTTTGTTCCCAAACAATCAATCCCATTTTGCCAAGAAACAAACAACCGTCAAACACAAAATAAAAAGGAAAAAAAAAAAAAACCAAAATGTAGTTAAAGAAATACCTACCTTCCTTTTCTCCTTCCTCTACTTCCAGAGTCATCTTCGTCGTCTTTCTCCTCTTCTTCGGCCTCCGCTTCTTTGCCATCTTCTTCTACTTCTTCTTCTTGAGGATTGGCCATGTGAGATGCCAAGAAGAGGTCGATTTGCTCACCGATGAAGGCCTTCCGGTCCGACAAATCGACGCCGAAATCGGCCTCGAGCTGTCGGCGGACGCTGCCGGGCGTGGTGGTGTCGAGGTCGGAGCTCCGGAGGATGTCCCGGAGCCGCTCCGCGAGCTTCTTGTCCGGCACCATTTTCTAGGGCACAAATTGATTTCTCCGACGTTTCGCTGCGATTAGAAGGGGGGGGAACGTTTCTTTTGATTTCTTAGCTTTTTGGGAAATGGCGTCTCATGCAAGAGAAGGAAAGAAAGGAAGGAAAAGGGGCGAAAGGACAACGGGTGAAGGAAGGGAAACGGCGGGGATTGGGTGGGGAGGGTATTTCTGGTATTTTGGGTTGTTAAGGTGGTGCAGTTCTCGTGTTTACGAGTGTGTTAAAAGACTTGAGAGCTTATCTTTTTGTCCTGACTGTTTTGCCCTTGTGTTTTGTTGCTACTTGGTCATGGGCCGCGTGGACCAATCTTCGGCCCAAGCCTAAATACGAAAGGCACGGTCAAACTTTTTTTTTTTTTTAAAGAGGAAACTTAAGGAAAGTCTCTAATTGGTTATATGGTCAGAGTTATGCTCCTTCAAAATATGAGATTTTAATTCTGACTTTTTAATTTTTCATTCACTCTCCTTTTGACCAAAAAATAACTCAATTATCCTCTTTTATATAATTTTTAATTGAGAAATGTTCTTTTTGTATTCACTGTTTGACACTAAACTCCACTAATATGATATATTATTATTTAAACATAATAATAATATAGTAAAATTCATGTGTCAAACAGTGAATGTAAAAAATGACAAAGAGAGTGACAGAAAAAGTGACACTGACATTTCTCTCTTTAATTTGATGCATCTCAGATTAGGATAAAAATCCACGTATCTTGATGGAAATTATAGATAGAAATCGATTCGTATTTGTGTTTTGATTATAATGGAAGGGCCGCCCCACCTCCATCAAGCCGGTCCTAACAAAGATCATCTCAATCTTATCATGGTGGTCTATATGAGCAAAAAGATTGTTTAATGTCGACAATGCAGTGTTAGATTCACTCCAAACTTCGTCGCAAGTGTGTAACTTCGTGTACATTTTGAATCTGGTCACGAGTTCTAATGTGCTATAAATATGGCACCAGCGAGATCATGTAGTAGATCTTGATCTTTAGCAAACCCATGCCATTCAAGAGTCAATTGTTTACCATAAATACAAGTGAAAGAGTAGAAAATAGGTCAATATAAAATGCTTAAGAAAGTATATAGGTCAATTTTTTATTATAGAAATCAATAGGCCATAACTTGTCAAGTTATGGTTTATAACCAGATCAGTTATGGACAAACTTATCAAGTTATGGTTCATAACCAGACAAGTTATGAACGAAAACAATAATTTAGCATATTTATTAACTTATGTAAATTATTGACCTATTAATTTTAATTTATCTCAAGTCTTAGCCTATTTCCCTCTTTCTCCCTAAATATAATGTGTTGTTGCAGAACTTCAGTGAATGACTACCAAAATTTACTTACTTTCTATCATTATTTTTTATCAGTTTGATAATGTGATGATTTAATTTGGTAATATAGTATTTTCTTATGATTTTTCTGTTGATTCCGTGAGCTAATATTGTGATTTATGAGTATTAATCTACTAGATTAATCCGAGTATTGCCCGGAGACAACCAATGATATATCTAGATTTTGAAAATTAATCTAGTAGATTACTAGTGGCAATCTTCGACGAGCGGCGCCAAAGACAACATGTGATTTGTGTTAAAGAAGGCGACGTAATCTAGTCGGACCGTCGACCGCCCATGGTTACTGTTGATTCCAAGTAGGACCACCGATCTCCCATGGTTACTGTTGATTCCAGCTACATAATCTAGGACTGTCAATGGTAACTGTTTAAAATCATTTTACAAACGAGAGTCTGTCTCCAAATGTACATACTGTTTAGGAACACTCGCATGCTTGCAGCACAATCAGCACGTATTTCTTGCCGCAAACCCACGATCCATCTCGACCAAGCAGTATTTAAACTAATTAGAGGACCTTCCGAGAGATCGTCGTTTTCCTGAATTTTCCCACACAATTAGCTTCTGTTTACCTAATGACAAATGTAGGGACGACACATTGAAGAAGAAAGCGCAAAACGCCTCCAAACTAACATGACAAAGGAAAATTCCACACAGTACAACAAATGAAGAAAAGAGAGATGGATCATTCACTGAAAGTAGAACAAATAAGTTATTCCATTAGGCTTAAACAAGGTTTATGGATCTCCTCTATGTGAATGTAGAATGTACAACTCTGGAAATTGCCAGGAGAATGAATGACCTGCAATATGTTGAAAAGCGCCCAAGCTTTCTGAACCTGTTAATCTAGCAGTCTTCATATCATCCTAGGCAGTTAACAGCCTATTGGAAATTCATTGTAACAAACCTTCGACATAAGACTACGAGTTCTCGTCGTCACTGCGATCAGAGGCCTTTTCGTCTGTATCAGAGCCACTCTCAAAGCTAATGCCTTGGGTTTCAGATTTTCTGTCACCACAGGTTTCAACGCCAGGTCTCAGAGAGTCTCTCAAGTCATCTAGGACGAAAGGTTCTACTAGTTTCCAGAAACAGGTTGAATTGCTTCCGAGGAAACCTATCCAATACACTCTTCCCTTCCTCTTCACCCTGCAATCCAGGGACCTTGCCTTCAAGCTTTTGACAACCTTCTCGACACCCTCCTGGCTTCCCCTAAGCTTTAAAAAAATGTCTCCTGATGAGGTCCTATGGCCTCCATACATACACCAGTATGCCAGGACACACGGTGACAGCCACCGATGGATTAGCTTTGGAATTGCACTTCTGCCTTTTGGCCAAAACTGGTCCGCGTAGAAACCAAAGTAAGGATGTGGGACGGTAAAAAGTCTTCGGGGTATATCCTCGCTACCATCATTTGCCTTGCATGAGGGATGTAACCACTCGTGATATAGGTCATGTATATGTCTCCTTAAAGAAGAATGTGTGCCTGATTTCTCACTGAACTCAAAGCGGATTATATGATTCCTTGTATTTTCATCCAACTCGATCTGCAAACCTCCTAAAAGCAGACCCACCAAGATCTCTCGTTGTTCTTTGCTCAGCGTTAGGCTTACACATCTCTTAACTTTTTTTTTGGTCAAGCTGAGAACAAAATCGATCTTTTCCGTCAATGATGATTCAACATCATATTTCTTTTGACAAATCAAGTAATAAATCTTCTCTGCCTTTACATAATCTCCAGAAGATATATATCCACTCAATATAGTGTTGCATGACCGAGCACTAATTCCAATAGCTCCATTGTTATGCATCTGGCCAAAGAGCTCCTCAGCTTTTTCTAAGTTACCGACTTGCACCAAGGAATCCAAGTATATGCTGTAAACAGTACGGCTGGGTTGACATATCTCAAGGCACCGAGAGAAGGCCAACTCTACTTTGTCATGGAAGCTTAAATTGAAGTACATATTTATCATATCAATGTAAGCTGGCATAACAGGCTTCAAACCACTGCTTATGAACTCTGCCATTAGGGATTCTGCCAGTTCAATTTCTTGAGCTTTGCATAAGATCTCTATAACTTTATGATATGCCACGACATTGGTAGAACCTAAATGTGCCTTCATCTCTCTGAATATCTCCAAAGATTTCCTAGGATCTCCAACCTTTCCATAGACCTCCATCCTATAAACAAAAGCTTGAGATGGGAGGCCACAATCAAGACGAAGAAGCTTGTACCAAGCCTTTTTTGCTTCCTCCACATCTCCTTCCTTTGAGCAAGCTCTCAAGATGGACACAAGCACTTCTCTACCCTCCTCAATACCTGCTTGCTGCATCTCCTTCCTTATCTCACAAATCCTCTTTTTGTCTATAGTGTCCTGATAGCTATGTAGCCAAATCAGGCCAGCATAAATTTCCTTATGTATATCAAGTCCAGTTGTAACCAAATTGTGAAAAATAAACTCCGCCTGTTTAAGAAAATGTTTTGAAAAGCTTCCGGATTTACTAACAATAGATCGAAATAAAGAATTGTGTAAGCTAAGTCGGGGCTGGTACCCTCCTAGCTGAATCATTTGATTGTATATGCTGCATGCTTCCTCCAAGCAACCTTGGACAGGCGCACTAAGATGAGCAACAACCAAAATGTGAAATGTAGATTCACTAGGAACGCGCCCCTGGTTGATTATATCATCGAATATCTCCCGACACTTTGAAAACTTCCGTTCCTTCCCCATGTAATCTGCTAGTTTAGTGGCAAGCGCAAAATCAAATCGATACCAAGGTCGTTGCACCATCCATTTGTACACCTGCCAAAAACTTGAAGTGAATCACAAAACTTGAAGTTGACAAAACAGCAATGCATTTGGGATTTAACATTCATGTTAGTGTTGAGTGTTGACCTAAGCAAAGCTGCCCAAAATGGGTTTCTTAGTATTCATCACGAGAATTTTATCCAAGACCTGATATGCAAATTTGCTATCCACAAGCCACATTGTTTTTCTTCGGTTTAAACTTCCAAAAATGTGTATACTCCAAAAACAAAATCGGTTGAATAGCCTCACCTAGTAAATTATTCAAGAACACATTCTAATTTGCCACAGTGCACACAAACTGTAGTACCATCAATCATAAGCCAATCATAGTGAAATTATGTAGCGGCTGAGAGTGGATGTGAAGCTGAGACTACAAATCAAGTGTAGCATGTATGCTTGTTAGTTTGCTTTTTCTCCAATTCTATTGTGCCTACTACCAGATTAGGGTGTCTAGTTCTTAACACAAATAATCAAGTAATTTCTACAGTCTACTCAATTCAAAACATAAAGAAACACTAATCCAGATATGTAACCTCGTGTAATGGAAGATGTTTTACCCTGAAACCAGCTTCGTTCTCGCGAATCCTCATACAATGCACCGCCAAGTAAGTAACATCTTCCTGCGTCAACCACTTCCTCTGCGCATTGAGGATTCGCACCATCGTCCCGGGCTTGTGCGCCGGCAATTCCTTGCACAGCCACGCAAGCCTCGACCTCCGCCACTGCTCCGGCAGCTCCTCCAGCTCCTTAACCTCCAGCTTCGGCGCCGCCAAATGCTTCAAATCCGACGACGCAAAACACTTCTCGGAGTCGAACGGCTCGCTTTCCGGGAATCCACCGAAATCCCCGACCTCGCCCTCTGACGGCGATACTTCGCTCTCCAATTGTTCGACGAAAGTGCTGGAAGTGGAAACCGCCGGGAATCGGCGACGTTCAGTGAGGATTGGGCGAAGGGAGCGGCGGCGACGGAGGAAATCGCGGTGGTGGAGAGAGAGAGAGTAGAAAGGCGAGGCGCGAATGGGGAGAGAGAGGAGAACATGGCTAGGGTTAGGGTTAAGGTTTGAGGAATGGTGGGAATTAGAGAAGAAAGTGAAGGTGAGAGGGGAAGAAGACGAGAGCTCTGCTTGAGCTTTGCCCGGAAGATGCATTTCGTTTTCTTTTCCCTCTGCTCCGGCTAATCGGCTTCCAGTTGAAGCTGTCGTTTTTCGGTTTGAAGTTGGAAGTGAACTAAAAATGACTTTTTCAATCAGTGGCCTCCTATTGAAACACGTTATAAGTAATAACCCCCTTATAAAAATTATTTTCTTTTTTATTTGTTTTCTTTCAATATTTAGATACAAACTAGTTTTGTACGCTGCGGGAAAGATTTTTATACTGTATTAGAAGTTTGAAGTTTTTTTCGTGCAGTATTAGTTTGTATATACATATTAATGTACATATATTTATATAAAATGTTAAGAAAAAACTACAGTATTAATGTGTATATACATACATGTGTATAGATATTTATATTGCATGTCTATCAAAAACTTTTTTTGTAAGATGTTACTGTAACACCTTAAAGAATTAATTGAGATTAATTAAAATAATTGAGATTATTAGTGTGCATAATCTGAATTATTAATTGAGTATTAATTAATAAATGTTTATGACACGTATGAGTTTAAATAGTTCTAAGGTATTTAAATTATTCTTAATAATTTATTTTAACCCAGAAGTGTGTATGAGCGCATTTCTGGACTGCTCTTTTAAAATATTGTACACATATTATTTTCTTTTCTTTTTCCTTTTCTTTTCTTTTCCTTTTCCTTTCTTTTCTTTCTTTTCTCTTCCTTCCTTTTCCGTGCGTCTCTCTCCCTCACTCTCTCTCTCACTCTCCCGTGCTCTCTCTCACACTCTCTCTCTCTCTCTCATTTTTGTCCCAAATCAAACGGATCTTGAACTAATGAAAGATTTAAAGAAGATTTCAACGTCAAGAGAAGGATTCGAGGTAAGATTACTGAAAGAACCTCTCTTGAATCCCAAGTTTTTGAATTTCAAAACTTATTTTTAGTTCAAACTGAATTTTGATGGTTTTTGAGTAAAACTAGGGTAGAAATTGAAGATCTTGGGTTCTTTGACCCAGATCTAGTGGTTTTCCTTTGAAATATTTCGATTTGGGACTGGATTTACAGGTTTTGGACTGATTTCCGTGAGCTTCTCTCGCGCAGTTGATTCCACCGGTCGACCAGTGCGATCGACCGGATCACATGGAAATCGGTCGACCTATGCAGTCGATCGGATTGCAGGCTGACCGGTCGACCGGTGTGCACACTACCGGTCGACTGGTAGTGTTGTACTGCTCTGTCACCGGTCGACCGATTGACGCGGGGTTTGACCATGTTTGGCCTGAAATTGCTGTTTTGACCCTTATTTTCAGGGAGAACCCAAATTAGCTTCATTTGGGGACTTGAGATAAATGGATTAGCATTGTTAATCCTTGATTTGAGATTGAAAACCCTTGGAGAGATATTTTGAAACATGAAAATGGATTAGGGCACACTAATAGGAAATCTTGGTTGGAAATTGAGATTTGGATTGCTTTAGGAATGATAATTAATCCTAAAGTGTTGTCTTGCATCAGTGATCGCTGAGGATTCAGACTGAAGGGGTTTGAGGAAGCGGAAGTCGAAAAAGGCAACGTTAATCCCAGGTTTGATAGTGCGAGGTAGGATTTCTATCCCTGTTCTTTGTGAGCTTATTTTCAAAAAGGATTTTGGCCTTAAAAATGTTTTAAAGAAATGGATTGGTTTATGAAAGAAAAACGCTTTGAAAACTATGGCTTGTTTAGTCATGGAACCTCATGGCTTGTCCAGTCATGGGGCCCGCGGTTTGAGTAGTTCGTGGGATATTAACGATTTCAAAATGTTAATGAATGATTTCTTAATAAAGAGATCTTATGAACCGGTAAGAGAGTCTATGACTGTAAGCCTAGATAGGATGCGGAGAGTGCATCCTCGGGGGCAGAACCCGAAACTCGGTCCGGGTAGGCGAGGCACTTGGTTAGGTAAATAATTTGTACTAATTACTTGCTGAAGCCTGTAAAATAGTTATTTTCAGTTATATTTCATTTGAGAAAAAGGATGTGAGGTTCCGGCTGTCTGTTGGAACTGAATATCTTATTTTATTTACTTATTCATTTATTTATTTCCTCGCTCACTTATTATTCATTTATTTATAACATTTATTTCAAATTATATCCTACTGGGCCTTTCGCTCACGTTTTATGTTTTAAATGTATTAAACCCCTCCCAGGAGATTCTAGGGGCGGTGCACAGTAGCTGAATATTTGCTACAGAGCAGCTGAGTTGTGCTGCTGTTGGAATCAAGTGAGGATTGTGGTCATCCTCTTGGACAAATGTAAGAAATTTGAGAATTTTGTAAACGTATGTAATATTTGGATTAACTAGATTGTGACTGATGTCTATTGTAATGATTACTTACATGTTCATGTATATACGATACTGTATGTCCTGTGGGGTGGAGCCCTGTGTGTCAGAGGTTCCGAGATTCTATTGTAATTTATTTATATTTTAATGTAGTCGAGTGGGGCTCGTCTGGAAATCTGTTTTATTAATCCCTAATCGAGCTCCACATCACCCACTCCGTTTGGGGGGCGTGACAAAGGTGGTATCAAAGTCATAGGTTAAGAAACCCTAGGATTATACATACATGTGTGACATATGTAATCCACTGAACAATCAAGTTTTATTTCAGTTAAAGGAAATGGTGCCTCGCCGTAGGCCAGCAAATCAACCGGAACAACAGAATCAGAGATTTCTGGATGCCATGTATGCTTCCTTTCAAGGCACGGCCACTAGAGCTCAAAATGAGCGGTCGGTTGAGGATAGGAAGTAAGGTTACTTCCGAGAATTTAGGCGTGCGCCTATCCCCTCGTTTAATAGTGAGGGAGGACCACAGGAAACAGAGTTCTTGTTAGACTCCATAGTCAAACATTTGAATACTATGGGAGTTCCAAATGAATACTGGGTGAAATTTACGGTATACAAGATGGAGGGTTTGGCGAATACTTGGTGGAAACAGGTCATGAGAAGAATAGATGTTGCAGGATTGACCTGGGAATAGTTTGAGACACTATTCAATGAGTAGTATTTCCCGCAGAGTTATAAGTATGAAAAGGCGTTAGAATTCATGTCTCTACTGCAAGGTGACATGTCTGTAAGGGAGTATGAGGTCAAGTTTAATGACCTATCCCGGTTTGCGCCATCTTTGGTGGAATCTGAACACCTTAGATGTCTTAAGTTTGAGAAGGGTTTCAAGAATTCTGTGATGAGGTCATTGGTGGCTTTAAGGATTTAGAATTTTCAGGATTTGGTAGCTGCTGCTACAATGGTGGAACAGGATAACTTGGCCTATCACCAAAGTAAAGAGGCAACTGGTCGGGTTTCTGTCTCTGGTAGACATTCTGATTCAGGTGGCCCATAGCGGAGTAGTAGGAGAAACCGCAACCAGGGGTAGACGGTTGGGGAAATGACAAGCGGTGACAGTAGTTCGTACGGAAGTGACAGAAGTGCTCCATACGGGCCCAGGTGTCACCATTGTGGGCAGGTAGGTCATATTAGGAGGAATTGTCCTAATCGGCCGCCGGCTCAACAAGCCCAAAGTGACGCTTCCTACAGTCAAGAAGGGCCACCACAGTACATGCCACCATATCAGCCACAACAGATGTCATACCCTCCTGTGCCGACTTATCAACCACATCTGTTTACACAATTTCGGCCTCAAGCGCTGAGACCGGTACAACCACCTCCGCCGTAACAGTATAGGCCTCCGACCCAACGGCCTAATATTGGTGACAGAAGGAAAAGTACATGAACAACCTTATGCCCTGGCGGGAGGCAGTTCTGGAGGTCAGACCAGTAACGCGGTGGTTGAGGGTATGATTCTAATCTCTCATTCTTTTGCTCACGTGTTGTTTGACACAGGTGTCACACACTCGTTTATATCAAGTTCTTTTGTACGGACTTTGAAACCGAAATCTGAGAATTTAGAAGTCCCGATGACTTTGAACTCCCTACTAGGATGTGTGGAGGTAATGAGTGTGTGTAAATCGTATGAAATCACGATTGGCGGTGAGCGATTGAGAGCAGATTTGATTATCCTTCCGTTGAACCTGTTTGACGTGGTACTCGGAATGGATTGGCTGTCAAGGTACAGTGCGATTATTGATTGCTACTGTAGAAAAGTAACTTTAGTAATGAATTCCGGAACAGTGATTTCTTATCAGGCAGATATGAACCCAGTCTTGGGAGAACGACTGTTGAAGTACAGCGTTGGGGGACGGAGGAACTTGGTATGTTTATCTTCTCTTCTTGCTATAGAAGGTGAACCCGAGATAATTGGAGATAGTGCGGGAATCCCTGTAGTGGATGAGTTTACAGATGTATTTCCTGATGAGCTACCTGATTTACCACCAGATCGGGAGATGGAATTCTGTATTGATTTAGTTCCGGGAACGGCACCTATTTCCATTCCTCCATACCGGATGACTCCGACGGAAATGAAAGAGTTGAGAACGCAGCTTGAGGAGCTGACAGAAAAGGGATATATCTGGAATAGTACTTCCCTTTGGAGTGCACCAGTGCTATTTGTGAAGAAGCACGACGGATCTCTTCGGTTGTGCATTGACTACCGTCAACTGAATAGGGTAACTGTGAAGAACAAATACCCACTGCCGATGATCGATGAATTATTCGATCAAGTGGGTGGATCACAGTTCTACTCTAAGATTGACTTGAGATCTGGGTACCATCAGCTAAAAATTAAGGAGGAAGACATTCATAAAACTATTTTTAGAACTCGATATGGACACTTCGAGTTTCTTGTAATGCCTTTTGGGTTGACGAATGTCCCGGTTGCATTCATGGATCTAATGAACCGTGTTTTCCGACCGTACTTGGATCGGTTCGTGATCATTTTTATTGACGACATACTGGCCTATTCGAAGACTTGGGAAGAACATGAGCAGTACTTGAGAATTGTTCTTCAGACTCTTCGAGAACACCAGTTGTATGTTAAGATGGAGAAGTGTGACTTCTGGCTGACAGAAGTGAAGTTCCTTGGGCATGTGATTTCTGGACAGAAAATTTCTGTAGATCCTTCCAAGATCGAGACTGTGCTATAGTGGGAAAGGCCAAAGAATGTAGCGGAGATTCGCAGTTTCCTCGGACTTGCAGGGTACTAT